GTGCCCTGCCTTGCTCCGGCTCCTCTGGTGCGACCACCTGCTTCTGCAGTGTTGGGGGGAAGGCTCAATTGGCCTAGGGTAAGCGCTACTTAGAAAAGGAAGGATCCTGGTAAGGCGTGTCTCGGTCCTTTAAAACGCTTGCAGGCAACTATTGCAAGAAAACCAACCACAACAATGAAATCCGAAACCCGAATGCCACAGTAAATTGTGGTACTATCCCGAAGCAAAATAACATGTGCAACATGAATAAAGCATGTGGGTGTGACTTTTTTGAGGGCCAAAAGGAAAACCCTCGTTTTGGCGGTCCAGCAATCAAAGACACGCACGCACGTGTAGGTCCTTTGGGCGTCCCTTTCAAACTGGCCTAAAAGCAATGTTGTGCCAAAGTGGGTGTTTACAACCTTCATTAAGCGCCATCGATCAATGGCCGGCAAAATTCCAAATGCAAATCTACATCCAGCCGGACATGCGCCCATTCAAGTCAAAACCAACGACAGAAGTGGCTGGGGCATCGGCGATGTAGGACTCACTCACACCCTTGTGGAAGGACTTGGAGACATCCTGACAATGAGCGGCCGGCCATGACTCCCGATGGCTGATTCCCCTCGCAAACGCCTGAAGCACTACGCAGGGTGGAGAAGGCGGGGCTTCAGAAGGGTTCATCTGGGTCAGCTTTGCCCTTAGAGCTTGCCACTCTCCCGCTGCTCCAACCAGGGTCATTATGCATCTCTAGCCCCGATTACATGCCAACCCCCCCCTCCCCCCCACCGCCAGGATTCATGAGACCGTACCAGTACAGGGGTCCCCTTTAAGGTGGAGCCCTTGCTAGGGTAAGGCCATGTTTGACCATGCTTAACGGGAGGACCCGTGTGATTTTCTAAGTCCAAATTAACAAGCTCATCGGAACTGTACAATTTGGATGGATTCATGAGTGGTCTTGCTTTGGGCAGCTATGGAATGCCTATGTCTATAACTTTGATCTGTGGCATAGTTGAGAGTCCTGCTAGCTCCACAATTGCCTTAGGGTCAAAGACACAAACACGCCGCCTCCCACAGTAAGAGGCCAAGCTTGCAGCTCATCGGCACAGGCTTGCCTATTCCTTTCTCGCACATGCCCTTCTTCAAGTCTTATACTCGTAGATCTGGCAGTGCCACCACTTGCGAGCAGCTAGATCGTGCCCACAATCGTTTTCAAGCGTTGCACTAGGTGCACTAGCTTGAAGATTGGTCCTGACATGCACGGTGTAATATCCTACTGTTCTCTCACTGCTTTTGTATGCACGGCAGTGGAAGCTCAATTTTCTACAAAGTGAAAGAAGGACGGAATGGGGGCCAACATGAAATGGGCTGGCCTCAATATGTGAAATGTATGTACTGGTTGCTCCCGCCCCCCAAAAGGGCACCAAGCCAAAAGCGAAGACACACCCATAGGCCCCAATATGGAGGTCTCCGCAAAGAGTTTGGACGAATTCTTCTTGGACACCCCCCCATATGTTGCTGGGCATGCAACAGCCACTCGACCGAGGCCCGGGCCGCGTCCGGCGGCAAATCCTCGAGACCCCTCCCCAAATTGGGCGTGACAAGCCCATTGAGGCGAACAAACATGAGGCGAAATAAGGCAAAAGAAGACCATGAAACAATTGGATTGCTGAGACTGACAGACCCTCAACCGATTTCGTTCTGTCGGAACCTGAGGGTTGCTCGCCCTTGGCTGGCGAGTAGTATGTGCTCGAAAAATATGCCGCTTGTTCTGCAGGTCCCCCCTCAGGGTGGATTCCCCAAGGCGGGCAACATGTTGTTTTTGTTTTGTTCAGAAAAGGGCAAACAACGCAACAGTTTGAGTCACAGTGAGTGAATGGCGCGGCATCCCAAGATCTCCGCATGAAAGGGCACAGCAAAACCAAGTGATTCAAAGGAGCCGCATTTGGACCCAGCAGGTTGGGCTTTCTTAATGGACTTAATGGGCTTCACGGAAACCGGAGAGTGGCTCAGGGTCAGGTCCGACTGGGTCCAAGCATGACCCTTTCACCCTTTCATTGGCTGATGCTCAAACGCAAATGAAATGAGTCATTGTCAAAACTCCTTATGTGGCATGCAGGTAAGGAACACAGGCACGCAGGAACGCAGGCGGCAGGCACGCAGGCACGCAGGCACGCAGGCACGCAGGCACGCAGGCACGCAGGCACGCAGGCACGCAGGCACGCAGGCACGCAGGCACGCAGGCACGCACACCCGCTATCTTCTTCTCACCATGGTGCACCAAGCAGTTCAGCCAGTCTTCATCTCCAGAATCCCAAGCACCTTGGAGTCGCTGAACGGGTTCTTGCTGTCCGCCAGGAAAGCGTAACTTTCCGCAAAGGCAAGTGCCGTGGGGAGTTCACACTGCTTTTTGCTTTCTTGCTGCCGGCCGGGTCCGCAAACTTCTCCTGTGAAGAGAAGCTACCCAGAGATGGACCTCTCCGGCGACTCCCTGAAGCCGGCTGGCCTAGTGGCTGACTGGAGACAAACCCATGTGGGTGTGGGCCAAGCCTTAATGGTGGTCTTCCTTTTGGTTTCCCTTTCAACCACACCAAAAGTGGTTTCCCCCTTCCCAAACAGAGGGACAAACCCATGTGAGCCACGGTCAAAAGGCATTAGGCCCATGGCCATGACCCCCCTACTTGCGGTCTAAAACCCCTAGACATGGTCCATGACCATTCCTAGCAACCCCAGTTGGGAAGTTTCCACGGCGCATGCGAGCACCAAGCGCCCAATCGCCCAGTTGAGTTCCCGGGCATCTGTGATCCGCAGCTGCGCGCCGCAGCGCGTGCCTCGGACGAGAGGACCCGTCGGCTCCCTCCTCTTAGGTGTGTCTTGAATTTTGAGGGTACCGCTTTGAAAGTTTCAAGGGAGACCCAACGGCCAACACACCAGTTTGGGGGGGCCCAAACGAAAGAAAAAAAAACCACCCAAGTGGTGGTTTGGAGCCCGGCGGTTTGGAGACTTTCCAGAGGTGGGTTGCCATTCACAAGAAGTCTTCGAATCCCCAGACCGCCACTCTAAACCACCACTCCGAAGTTGAATCTGAATGCTCGTCCTTTGGTTGCCATGCAAAACCCCGTCCAACTGGGGCTTGCCGAAAAACATGATGTGCACGGATAAAATACCACCATCTCAACCACACAACTCCCATAGTCCCTAAAGGGAGCCACTGCAAGGTGACAACTCTAACCCAACGAGAATGGATTGCCTTCGCCCAGCCCGACACTTGAGGATTTCTGGCAAAACAGGTGGCATCGAGGCTGCGGCAATCACTGAGGAAGACCGACTTCTGAGACTCCTGACGCTCGAGAGAAGCGGTCAGGATGCGGTTTCGCGCCCCCTTTGTGAGATCCGCTGTGGTGAGCGTGATGACAAGGCATAAACTTTTGTCTTTTTTCTGTCACGCTCAGATGAAGGCTGCAACCGCCTGATCGGCAAGTCAATGAAGTCTAGGCAAACACCGCGTGCAGAGCGGCAAGTGCATACCCTCGGAGCAAACTATTGCAGGACTCATCACTCAAATGAGCTAAACATGTTGCAATTCGGGGCCTTTCTCCAGCATCTCCTTTTGGGTATCTCACCTTCCCATCCCCTGTTGTCCCCCTGTCCTTGCCCGGAGTACCACTCTCTGCCCGCATGGCGTCGGTACAAAGTCCCAACCGTGACAAAGGACGTCCTCTGGAAAGTTAAGGTTGTTGTCGGGTCAGTTTCCTGTGTGTGGACTGGCAAAAAAAAAGTCTTCTCAAAAAGTTTAAGGTCCAGGAATTCAGAAAGTGTCAACATCATGTGTTGCCACTGCTAGGCTTCGTCTTGGCAGGGGGTAATGCTTTAGGACGCATAGGGAGCCTTGCCTTTCCGCCTACTTCTTAGTGGTTGCGAAACAGATGCGAATAACCCAGCACGCATGCCATATACACCGAAGGGATACATAGGAGCTCCGCCACTGGTCCTACTCCGCCAAAAAGCAGGGCAGATGAACCGCTAAGGCCGCTAAGGAGGATCTAGCTTGGCCAAAGAGGCCTCTGAGCCAAAGCGTCTGCCAAGCGCCCGAAGCTAGCGGCCGCGATGTTGGCACCAAATCTCCGGCTCCGTTTGTGGCCTGCCCGCAGTAAATCCGCGGAGGGGTGGATCTCCCAGTTCCATTTGGGTGTGTTAATTCTCTTTGGATGGTTGAGGAAAATCGCCCATTTTTGGGGTAGAGACAAAACCCGTTCCGCCACAGCCTTCCCACAAACAGTTCCCCAGTGGCCTTACCTGCCAAATGTAGCGAGATGTCTTCCGAACCTCCCAACCCACTGTGGCTGTTTTCACTTCAAGAATCATGGAAATGCATGAGCCATTGAGAAGGTCACAAAAAAAAGCTTGCTGATCACGGCACCACGGCCGCTCGACCTAGAGATGAGTGGTTGATGTAGGGAAAAAGTCAGTTATCCCCAGGACCGGAAAAAAAAAGCATCCAAATCAGGTGTACCCATTTTTGTCACACACCCATTTGCGGGGTTAAGTCAACGAAGCTGACGCTGTGAAGCCAAACACCCAAACGAGCTCATTTCTCGCACATCCTCAGGCGGCGAACCCTTGGCGGTTTGGATTTGGCGCTTTGGAGCCTCGGGGGGGCATTCTCCCTGCTTGCTTCAGCAACGAAGAGAGGTTCAACCCACAAACCGCCAAGCCAAGCGACCAATCCAGGGTTGCCTGAGTTCAGGCGGCTAAGCTAAAATGCACGTTTCAGCCTCCGAGGCAGGCTCTTTGGCCAGCCAAAAGCGAGGTCGGGTTCTGCGGGCTCTATTCAGAATAATGCTGCACAAGCTGAAAGGCCTTCCATAGAGTCATCATCCAAAACCTGGCATCAACAGAGTCCACCAGCCATAAACAGAGTCTCACAGATGGGACTTCCGATTACCCTGGCGTTTGTAGCCATCTCCACAGCTTGAATCCTGGTCAGGGCTAGGACGTAGCGTCGCTTCTGCCCTCCGCCTCTATTGCGTCGACATATGGCCAGCCTGAGCGATCAACCAATCTGAAGGACCATACTAATCGTGAATGGCCTCTGTGTATATATATATATATTATTAGTGGGGAACTAATTCATTTCAGGCGGATTGATTAAGATGGTCCGCCTGATTAATCCGAAGTTAACATTACCACTGCCGCTTCCGAAACTCGCTTCCGGCAGGAAGTGCCCAAAAAAAACATTCCCCATGCACCGAAGGCGTGAAGAGGTGGGGCATCTTCGGACGGCGCTGAACGCAAAATTTACGGCGCACGGTAATGGAAGTGGCATTCCCCTGACCGAGCCAAACCGCCAGCCGCTGTCTTTCGGCTTAGTGCCGTATCTTTGGGCCAAACAGAGCTTCAGTGCAACAGCCGAAACAGGCATTCGCGCAAACCTTGCGCTAGATGGCAAAAACCCCTTTGCTGAAAAAGGCAGGCTTAAAGGCACAAAACGCGTGTAGAAGCCAAACCAAGCACCCCCAACCACAATGCCAAACTGAATGATTACCACCCCCAATCCAGCTGGTGAATTATGATAGTTCACCAACCCAAAATACCTGACCCGCCAAAAAGGAACCGTCATCGCCGGCGAGCCCCCCCCCCCTCCCCGCCCCCCCGTGAGATCATCCCAACGCCCAAACCACCAAGCCACCACCTAAGCCTTCCCCAAAAAATGCGCCCGGCTTTTGCCCAAAGTTTTGGGAAACCATGTCCGAAAGTGCAAGCCGAGGGATGGGGTCGCCACCCCGATCACTCAGAGCGGCTGATGCGATTTGAACCACTCAATGTCACATTCCACCCTGATCGGTTCTCCAACCCTTCACAAGACCTCGCTCTTCCCACCCTTGGTAGGGAAAACACCAAGGATTTTGCCGCCCCACAAAACACGAGCAGATCCAAAAAGGCGAAAACCGCCCAACGGGTAGCCCCGGACTGCAAAGTTCTGGGTGGTTTTCCTGCTCGGCAGGCGGCGAAGCGCGGCCGGAGGTCCTTCACCAGGCAGCCTCGCTCCTCCATCCTTTGGGTGAGATCCAGGAAGTCCTCGGGGATGTAGCGGGGTTCCCTCTTATGGGTCTGGCTTTCTTGAGAGTCCCCTTTTGGGTTGGCGTAGAGGGAAACCAACCGTTCTTGAAGGAAGCTTATGATTTTTACGGGGATCCTTACATTATACACCTGAAGATTGCCTTGTAAATGGTTGTTTCTAGCTATTTTGGTGGAAAAATCCATGTTTCAAATGGGCAACATGTATCTTTTAAGGAGGCCTGCTTTAGTGGTCTGTCTTTCTTAAGAGTCCCCTTTTTGGGCTGGCGTAAAGGGAAACCAACCGCTATTGAAAGGAAACCCACCATTCTTGGGGTACCCGAAAAAATGGGGACAATCCCAGAACTAAAATAAGCATAGATCAACCTAGGTATAGATTGAGAACATTCAGCACCAGGAGCTGGCTTTGACACTGAAATCAGGTGTTGATGCGCCGAATCTTTGGATCCAGCCCTGTACTAAAGAGTGCGACAAGAGCAAGGGAAGAGCCAGCGGAATCCGCGAAATGCGGTTATACCACCCCAGGATTATACTTACTCGGAAGCAAGCCCATGTGAATCTTGGTCTTCCTCGTTTTGTTTGCTGAGGTTTGGATATTTCCAGGGATGCAACCCCAGGATGTTTTGCGGTAGAACCCTTGAAGAGATACTCGAGTTCAGTTGCAAGCTCACCTAACCTTAGGTCAGCTCCTTGTGATTTGGGCAGAGGGATCCCTCTGCAACCCAACATCCATCGCCATCTTTACAGGCCCTGCTGATACAGAGCGTTTGAATAGCATTTATTCAGCCGGCTTCCTCAATTGTAAATGAAGCATGGCAAGGCAAACCAAAATCCGAAAGCAAGCGTCACAACAAACACCTAGCAAAGGTATGCATATGATGCAATTACACACCAAAACCTATGAAATCAGAAGGGCGTACCGCCACCTTTGTTTTCTGTTGGGCCCGGTTCCCTACCTCATTCCCCGGGCTGAGATTTAATTTTGGCTCACTCCACCCTGCACAGAACGCTGATTTGATCACCCTCTGCTAGCTCGGATGGTTGCTTTGAGGACAAAATATCTTCAGCCTCTTCACCACATCCTTCACTGAAGGAAACCCCAATTCTGTCCATACTCCTTGGTGAGTCTTACAAACTGTCCAACGGCACAATGTCGAACTCGAAGGCTTGCTCCCTTGCTACATGCTTCATCCCGAAGAAGGAGAAGAAGAAACAGCAACAGCGGCAGCAGCAGCAGCAGCAGCCGCAGCAGCAGCCGCGGCAGCAGCCGCAGCAGCAGCAGCAGCAGCAGCAGCAGCAGCAGCAGCAGCAGCAGCAGCAGCAGCAGCAGCAACAACAACAACAACAACAACAACAACAACAACAACAACAACAACAACAACAACAACAACAATTACTTCGCTTCGAGCTATCCCCGCCCTCGACACTCGCGAGCTTACGACCGTGAACACGCTTGTGTGAATTCAAGCATGAGTTTCGAGTGGCTTGGGGCCTATGACTGCTCAACAAACTTTGCATTGAGAGCCTTATCCACCTGTCTGTGTGTCAAACTCCACTTGTCTGCGAGCCGATCTCGAGAACTCAAACATCGGTTCCGTTAACAAAGCTAAGCCCCTTGCAAAAGAAACCCGGCGGGGGATTAAACGAAGTTGCTTATTCACAGCCCAAAGCAACACAAAAGCATCACCCTTTCCGAGCCTCAGGGTACACTCAAAACACGAAGGCACCAGCACGAAATGTAAACCCAACTGTGCGCCGGCGGGACACTAAGCAAAACCAGACTGGCGAGCTGCTCTGGCGGGATACTGGTAGGATGGCGTTCCCGGCGCAGAGGATGGTGTTGCAAAACTGTCATGTCGAGAGGAAGCCCGGTCGGACCAGGCAAACAGCGCGCAATGGAGTGATGATTGAAGCACACTGTCAGCAAAACCAGGTGAGCAAGGAGATCAGTGCCGACCTTTTGGTACCGCGAAACTGGATTGATCCAGGTGTCCACTGCCCAAAGAAATGCACTATCCAGAAGACAATACACCATGCAAGGTTGATACTTGGTAAGCGCCTTGCGATACTTCCAGTTCTTCATTAGACTTCCCAGGCATTCAGAAGCACAGTCATGGCCAATCCGCTGGAAAAAATAACAAACGAACACCAGGACGGTGTGGAAAAAGTCTCGCCACAACCCAGCTTGGTGTGAAGCCCTCGATCTTCCTCTTGGCAGACCTTACACCACGCACACCTTCGAACTCAGTGGTCAGTTTGTGTAGAATAGCACTGCGAGATTCTTCCGCGCATCGACTGCTGCATGAAAAATCGTCCACACATTGCAGTGTGAGAAACTCCAAGGGTCCAAAACACCACGCCCGTTCTTTCCTGAACTTCCACAACACACCCTCACACCCACATGCGCGCAAAGAACCTGGGCTTGGCCGTCCACGTGCAGCCGGCCGCTTGATGACCTTTTTGCCCATGGCTCCAATGCTGTTAGCTAAACAATCTCTGCGGCGTCAACAATGGCAACCCTACCACACCCACCTGGACCCTGCCACCTTCTGCGTCCTTGGTCTGCTTCATGCATGTGCTGTCAGGGTCTCTAACAACCAAGAGCCAACCTATGGCACATGGCTGCAGAGAAGAGTAGCCAATACCGTCCATTCGCATTCTATCATGTCCACAAGGCAGGCTTTTGTTGCTGGAAGTAGCGGTTTGCGTGTGGCTGCAGAAGCGCACTTTGGCACCGCCAGAGCTGCAGGGCTCCTTGCAACGCGATTCCCCGCCGCATGTGTCGTGGAAAGGATCTCAACCAAGTCTGGAAGCTCCAAACGCAGGCTGCTCAAGTTTGCTCCAGAGAGCTCGTCCGCGCTTGCGCGCGAACACCTTTCTGGGCAGCGACAGCGTACCAGACATAGCACAGTGGCCCCTCCTCAGTGGAGTCTTTTGCCAACCTTGCCGGACTGCTGCCGCAATCAGGAAGTGCAAACTTCGCTGCTTGTCCCATGGAAGAGTTACTGTCCTTCTTGCAAAACCAAAACTCCTGCCTAAGAAGAGGACTTGGGTCGGTGTGGCGCCGCCATATTGCTCATCTCTTCCCTGGCCAAAGTTCTGCCATTCGCGCAGCTTTGATTGTCGTTGCAGCCATGTGTGTTGGTACCTGCCAATCTCCTGGCGCAAGCTTGTCTTGGAAGCCACCCATGGGGAAAAAGAAAAGGATGATACAACGGAACGTCATGCAAGGCCACACTTTGATGACAATTGAGCAAGCTCGGTGTTGGCGCACTGCCACTTCAGGCAAGTCATCCGGCCTTGGGCGAACATTGCTTTCTGGCAGGCGAACCTTGCTGTTGACATGCTTCACTGTGGAATCAAGGATCAGTCTCGGCTCGTGTTCGGACGAAAAAAAGAAACAGCGCTGGGGGAGACAGCTTCTCAGGCGGCCATGAAGGCCGCTCGACATCAGTGCTCACACCCAAGCTGACGTGTGAGGTAAGGTTCGGTAGGCTGGGGCTGTCGGTTCCTGCGCCCAAAAAATAGGTGTGGTAACCCAGCCCGTCCGGCGAGGATTCGATGGCGAGGATTCGTTTTTTTCAGCGCTGATTCGAGTTGACGAGGATTCGTGTAAAAAAACACTTGACGAGGATTCGGGTTGACGTGGATCCGTGTCAACCGACGTGGGTCAGCTGCGCATGCTCGTAGTATATTCGCTGAGTTTTGTTGCATGGCATGACTTGCCATTTCCATATCGCAGATGCCTCGGGCACATCCTCGCATGATATTCGCTTTATATATTGTTGCGTTGCAGAATCCGCTGGAAAACAAAGTTTGTTCAGACGATTAGTTTGCGTGACATGTTTTGTCATTAGCACAAAGCGTAGGATGCCTTGGGCTCCTCCTACAGTCCCTATAGCCCATAAGCAAAAATCAGGAAGCCGCTTGCTCCTAAATGTGCTTGTTTGTAAGCGAAAAGAAGGTAGTCGCTAGCTCCTGAAAGCTGGCACTTGCGCGCTTTGTGCCCACTTAATCAGTTTCAGACATTTGCATGTTTCACCCCGCTCAAAAAACAAATGGCATTCCTGTTTCCACTCCAGGCCGCAGCGGTGACGCGCGAAGGAGATGAAAAGAACACTTGCTGCAAGGCGCAAGGCAAGGGCTGTCAGCTCCAAAAGGAGCGCAGGGCTCCTCCTTGTTCCAAAAAAGGGGAGAGAGAGAGAGAGAGATGACGAGAAAGAAAAAGAAGAGAAAAAGAAGAGAAAAAGAAGAAAAAAAGAAGAGAAAAAGAAGAGAAAAAGAAGAGGAGAAAGAAGTGAAAAATGCGGAAGAGAAAGAGACAGAGAAAGATGAAGAAAGAAAGATAGAAAGAGAGAGAGAGAGAGAGAAAGACAAAAAGACAGAAAGAATGAAAGAAAGAAAAAACAATAAATATAAAGAAAGAAAGAAAGAAAGAAAGAAAGAAAGAAAGAAAGAAAGAAAGAACGAAGTAAATAATAAAGAAAGAAATACATAAATACATAAATAACGAAACAAAAAAGGAACATAAACAACGAAAGGAAGAAATAAAGAAAGAAAGAACTCAAGAAAGAAAAACATAATGATATAAAGAGATAAAACAATACAGAAAACAATGAAATACATGAAGAAAGAAATGACGAAATAAATCAACAAAAAGAAAGACATGCATAAAGAACTATAAATACAGAAAGACAAATATAATTTCTAAATAAAGAAAACATAAATAAATAAATCAAGACATGAAATTAGGAAGGAATAACGAGACAAAGAGAAAGAGAGAAGGAGAGAAGGAGAGAAAGAGGCAAAGAGAGAAAGATAAAGAGATAAGGATTGCAAGAGAGCAAGAGAGAAAGAGAAAGAACATGACAAATACAAAGACAATGAGAAAGAGAGAAACAAAGACAAAGACAAAGTGAGATAAAGAGAGAGAGAGAGAGAGAGAGAGAGAGAGAGAGAGAGAGAGAGAGAGAGACGTTAAAATCGGTTGTTACTTTGCT